ACATTTATATGTACATATATACACAATGTATAAATGAAATTGTATATAAGCATACAAATTTTCTAGACAAATAAATTATGAGCAATACAATAAAAAGTAAGCTTAATTTAGTATAGTGGTTTGTTTTGTTTTAAATAACTAAAACAGATTTATACTTTAGCAAATTTTGGTCATTTGAACACAAACTATTCTGATTGGTGCATATTTTTTTATACAGCAATTCGACACACCCTGAGTTTCACTTCTCAATCTATGCTTAAATACATATCACACTAAGGAAATAAAGATGTTTACAATAAAGAGCATTCGTTGCATCTTGGTGTCTGAAATGACATGCTTCACTGAAATTCCTTTGAACAGTTCAGTTAGTTTATGTCATGATAGAAGGCCCTTTATCTAATTTGATCTACATGAATCTGGTGAGATAACACCTTTGCACAGATATCCAAGGATGAGGTGAAATCAGGACTTGAAAATGCTTTGCACAGGAGTAGTCTCTCCTGTGTTTCACTGCACTCTACAGCTTCTGTAACATCACCTGAAATTTGCAGGCAGGCATTGAAGATACTTTAACAATACTTTTTATTCTCAAGTTTGACAAGCCACCTCTGATTAAGCCACATGTAAATGCTAGATACTTTGATGCATGTTCTAAATACTGTTTTCCTGCAGACAGCTGAGTAAGTAGTTGAAATTTGTTATCCTGAAGTACGTATATGCCCTGATGGTTTGTCCTTAGATTGTCAATTTGTTTCTTGAATAGTCCAAAAATCTTTACATATGAACTTCATGATGTCTAATTCGTCTTTGAACCTTGCAGTATCTTTTGTAAACCTTTCTATCAATCCTTGTTCCACTCGAAAGCCCATGTTTTCCAGCTTAGTAATACATGGTCCATTTTCCACTTCCCCTTGTTCAGCGGACTTGTGTGCTCCTGACACCATCTCGTTATGGAGAAGCAAAAACAACGACTCGGCTCCAATTAGTGCGGCTCCCATTAGCCTGCGCTGGGGGCCGGTGGCCCGCGCCGTAGCCGGTGCGCAGGGGCCTACCCCGGTGCCGGTGCCGGTGCCGAGGCATCGGAAGACTGCTGTGGACTGCGCCCCTCCTTGGGGCAGCAGCCACTGGGCCCACAAGACCCTATGACAGCTCCACACTCTACCGAGACTCTCGAAAACATTTTCTTAAATTTTAAACAACTTAAGCTTAAGTGTGGAACTAAAACTATTTGGTCTTCAACCCCACCAGAATCTTAAAAAGGAAAAAAACCAGTTATTTGAGTAAATTGGAAGTGCATGTTAGCAGCTTCCAAAAAAATAAAAAATTGACAGACACAGTTTGCTGTCTGAACAGTCACCCCAAACTCTCTATAATGTCAGCTTCAGCCTTCTGGCTCAGTATATTTGACAGACATATATATGAAGCTATATAGGACTATTTAGGACTTGCTTACCGTGTCTTGGCAGAGTTAGACAGTTGACTTGTCCTGCATTTAAGCTTGCCTATTTTTGGCAGAATTCTGTCTGCCATGAAGCGAGGGTATTTTCCTTACCTAGGTGGCTGGCTTGCCACATTTGAGGCCATCTCCATATTGAGGTTCTTTGATGCTCATTATCTTCTTTGAGGTAGGCTGGGTGCCTTCAGGAGATGACCTGTCTCATTGTCAAAGAGTCTTAAAATAATGAAATCATTTTTAAATGCCACATTCTGTAGGTCTCTGAGGTTTTTGAAGATTTACTTATCTTTGTATCATCATATCTATCTGAATGTATACTCCTGTGATAAATTAGACTAGCGTCTGGTATGACTATAAGTTAACTAACAATTAACTTGCATTACCTAATATCCTAACCTTATTTTCTCTCTGAATAACATCATTAACAACTTACAACCATCTCCCAATGACAATAAACATTCATAACCCCAGAAAGCAACCAAAAACTTATCCAACTGCCTTTAAAGGAAATTGGATGTCTTTCTCATGAATTTGTTCGAGATGATTTTTTTTAGACAGGCAGAAATCCTGTTGGGGGTTCAGAGGAAATTAGGAAAAATGGTTAATTAAGCAAGCATTAACATTTGTGGTCCAGTCTTTGAATGTTGAGAAATTTCAGGCTTAATAGAAGTCCTGTTTGGAACAGTCTAAAATGCTGGACCAATTGAGATTAGTAGCTATCTTCAAAGCTCTCTTGGGAGCAGGCTTTGATTACTCGTTAGTTTTATAACTCAATATTGTCCCTTTATTGATTAGAAATATCACATGTAGTTGACGCTTATATCTTAATGTACTGGAGGAATTGCTCAAAAATTGAGTCATGCTGAAATTGTTGCATTTTTTGCTCTGTTAAGTGGGTGATCATTTGGCTTGTGAAGTTTCGATTATTTTTAGCACCTTTGGTTTTCTGTTTTAGTATATATGATGCCAAAGTGAGCACTCCTTTGGTTTTTTGTAATGACTGATTCTGATGGTTACTTTCTGCACTGTTCTGTGAATGTGGGTCTTTTGGCTATTCAGGGAAGCCAAGCAGCTGCCAAGAGCTTATGTACCTTGTCATCTATGTCCAGTGCTAAGGAACATAGTGGAGCTAGAGACCCGTTTACTGGTGCTGACTTCCACCTCTACAGGCTTCACACACTCTCCTCATGGGACAATGCGAAAACTGCAGAGAAAAGCTGCACCCACCCAGGGCTGACCTCAGCTGTGATGTACCTCATTGACTGTATACTCCCCATGTAATACAATACAATGAAAGCGGCCTATGCTCTCTCCCCAAACACTGACGAACCAATCCGTGTTGGTTTATTGGTTAGGACCATGTCACACAAAGGTGATGTAGTGAGGTGAAGTCAACCCATTGACTTTGCTGAGGAATAGTTCGCTAACATGAAACACATCTTCCTACAGGGATCAAGTGTACATGGCTCTCAGCCAAGCTGTCTTGAGGTGGAAATCACCATAGAGGTCAGGGTCCTAGAGCTATGAGTATGGCCTCTGGCAGCTGCTTTCTCTATGCCTTAGGGTCCTCCTGATGCCTCAGCTTGGGGACTGTGGCCCACAGGGATTCCTGTTTACTTCAAAGTGGGTAATTGCTCTCTGAGGGCCACTCCCAATCAACAATGTCAGTGTCCACCCCAAGGGGGCAGACCCACTTTAAGGTCAACAGCAAACCAAAGAGACACAGGGCTCTAAGCGTGTGTAACATTGTGCCCACACTGCTTGTTCTCCATGACATGTAGACATCTTGGGTTCAGAGTGACAGTCAGGGACACCTTCTCCTTCCACGTGAGTTTCTCCTTCCAGTGCTTCCTCCTTCCTTTTGGTCATCTATCTTCTCCTTCTCTTTATTTTTCCTTTTCTCGTGTGTGTGTGTGTGTGTGTGTGTGTGTGTGTGTGTGTGTGTGGTGATGATGATGATGATGATGATGATGATGATTTTCAAAAAGGTTTGGGTTTTGCCCTGAGCCATTTTAGTATATATATTAGCACTTCAATACCAGAATCACTTTGCTTCATAGTTTCAGCCTGAAGCTTTAAGTGTTTGGCCTTCATAGTCTGCTTTGTGATCTACCTGGGCCATTGAGCCCTTTGGAACAGAAATCTTGCCCTGCCGCCTGGCTCTGCGGCAGATCTGGATCTCTGAGAGAGCCATGGTGGAATCCTCTGAATCTCATGCAGATCTCAGGGCTCAGGGCCACCTGTGGCCAAAAGATCTATAGGCAGACAGGTACTGGGTCTGATATGCAGACAGAGGGAGTCTGGCAGTTCAGATGGAAAGCCCTACATGCCATATGATGCCATTGGGTACCTGCAGGGAATGCTAACAGACCAACTTTTTTTTTTTCTGGGACAAGTATTGGTCCCAGATATTCTATGGTAGCTTGGCTCTTCAGTGGCTGAAGTTGAGGGGCTATCAGTAGCTCAGGCCCTGCTCTCAAGCTCAGCATTCATGGGGAGCAGGGTGGGGGAGGAGATAGGCTTCCTTGCTGAGGATGTATTCTGGTGTGAGTTCTCTTTTTCATGTAGCCAACAGTCCACTCATGAGATCTCCAGGATGGGTCTGGGCCTCTCAGTCCCATGGAGACACTAGAGAGGAGCAGAGCTTTTCACTCAGGCTGGTCAGTCCACATGCTTCTTGTCCCGAGAGGCCCAAATGCTAAGAGGCCTGTGTAATTAGAGGTAGATACATGTTTGAGGTATAGGAGAACAGGCTTGAAGCTGGGAGGGAGTGATGGTCTAGAAATGTGGAGCCTGACTTGAATCTGTGCCCATGCCTTTCATGCTGTGTTTCACAGCCTGGCAGAGCCTGGCACTTTCTCTGGCAGGCACCAATCTCTACCAGGCCAGGAAAGTGATCCCTGTCTACTCACCAGGTTCACCATCCATCATGGAGTGATTTAGGGTGGCCATGGAGAAATAGGCAGTTATGTTCACAAAAGAGTTATGTCCATTTCATTCCACAACAGCCAGGGCCATCTGAACCAGCTGCATGCCATGCTGTAAGTGCTCCGTGCTTTTCTCCCCTCCACACTCCCAAGCATGCTTCCCTAGAGCTGTTTTTCAGCCTGCCTCCAAGAAATCTGGACTGCCACTTGATAAGATTGGTCCTATGTAGGTTCAAAAGATCTGTGCTGGGGAACAGACTGGCCCTTGGCAGACCTTAGCAGGCTGGCATACATGCTTACAGGAGCTCCTGGTCACATGGCATCACAGCACGTGATCAGTGTCAGAGCAAACAGGCTACAGAGCAATACTTCCCACCACAGGGAAGCTTCCCTTCTGTTTTGGGTGTACTGTGTGCAGAGTGTAGCATCTTTGCTCAGACTATGTCACTGTACTGAGACTGATGTCATCATTTCTCCAGCAACAGCACTTATGACAAGTGCTCCTCACCACAGCTGGCTGGAGCCTATGTGTGAAGATGCCTGCCCTGCACCTCCTGTCTCCTTGACCACACCCACCCCTGTCACAGTAACTCCCACGGTTTCACTCTCAAGTGGCAATGAACAACTACACGACTGTGGTAGAATTTGTCCTGCAGGGACTCTCTGGGGACCCTGAGCTCCAGACTCTGTTCTTGTTCTTTTTCTTCCTTCTTTACATCCTGGCTCTCGTAGGAAACACCATCATCATCATGGCCATCAGCCTGAACCCAAGTCTCCACACCCCCATGTACTTCTTCCTTGCAAACTTGGCCCTATTGGACATCTTCTGCACATCCACTGTTCTTCCCAAGCTGCTGGAGGGCCTGGTGGGCAAGGGCAGCCGTATCTCTTACAAGGGATGCATGACCCAGCTCTTCTTTCTGACCTGGTTTCTGGGGGCTGAGCTGCTCCTGCTCACTGCCATGGCCTATGACCGCTATGTGGCCATCTGCCACCCCCTGCGCTACAGCCTGCTGATGAACTGGCCTGTCTGTGTCTTGCTCGCAGGCTGTGTGTGGATGTTTGGCTCAATCAGCGGATGTGTAAACACTGGCCTGACAGCACAGCTCAATTTCTGTGGGCCCAACCAAATTCATCACTTTTTGTGTGAAGTCCCACCACTGCTGCTTCTCTCTTGTAGCCCAACCACCCTGAACAACATCATGATTGTCATCGCAGATGTTTATTTTGGTGTGATCAACTTCCTGTTGACCTTGATCTCCTATGGCTTCATTATTGCCAGCATCCTGCGCATCCGCTCAGCTGAGGGCAAGAAGCGTGCCTTCTCCACCTGCTCTGCCCACCTGGTGGTGGTTACACTGTACTACTCC